GATATGTAAGATTTACCCAGAACTTGCTGGGAGGAACAGCAATGAGTTGCCCTTTTACCATCTCATTTTAGTGAACACAGAGGTAATTAAAGAGATTAGTTTCTTGTATTGGGCGTTTAAAGCACTAATAGTTGATGTTGGGCATAAGAAGGTGTGAGTGAAGCGAAGGGTGAGCACTGAAAAAAAGGCAGTAGATGGATGTGAGCTTTGAATGGAGTTAGATGAGAAATTAAGAGGGAAGGAAGGAACATGACGGGATTTTTGAGCAATTAAAATAGAAGATGGGTACAAAATTGGTGGGAGGAACAAGAAGGTTGAAAACGTATTGTTCTCCTATGAATGCATGTATGGAAGTTTTCCTGTTTTTCACTTAAAGGGCCTTTTCGTTCACAGTGCCCTGGATGTCTTCCTCAGCCCCGGCTGCCTGTTGGAAGCTGGAGGTTGTCCGGATAGCTGCCGGAGAAATTTCGGCTCCCCGGGCAGCTCTGTGCGGGGGGCTACTGGGCCATGGGGGGGCCGCTGGGGTCCGCGGGCTTGCAGGAGCCACAGCTTTGCTGGAGAGAGAGAAGTAATGATATAGTGCTGCTGTTTTAGCTGCGCAGAGGGACGCCGGTGCGGTCCCCATGCAAGGCGCCTCTGAGGGCAGGTCACCGACAGGAGCTATAAGGGAGGCACGTTTCCAGCCCAATCTCCCTGCTTTGGAAGCCTCGGGAGTTCTGGCGCTCAGGGCCCCTGTAGGGCTGACCCGCCGAGCCCACGGAGGCTGGACGCGGCCGCGGGAGACGAGACCGGCCCAAGGCAGGAGCGCCCTCTGCCGGCACCGCACGGCGCCCGAGGGGAGCCCTGTCATCCGTCCCGCGGCCGAGGCGCCGGTACAGCCGCCGCTCTTTGTCATGTTATGGATCATCCTGAAGGACAGGCGAACTCTGCCGTGTCCGAGGCGCTGAGAGCCGGCGGGCGGACAGAGGCGAGGGCTGAGGAAGGCGAGGGCTCGGCCGTGTCCCTGGCAAGGCTCGGGCGCCATCTTGTGCCCGCTGAGCGGGAGGTGCCGCCTGACGGCTGCGGAGCCCGTCCTTGGGGAAAAGGTGTTCCTGCAACCTAAGGAAAGTGGGTGCGTTATGAGAAATATGCATCTGGAATACTGCTGAGGGTTAACAGCAGTTCATGTGCTCCTTCCTTTTGTGTTTACCCTGCTGGTGTATAATTTGCAAACATGCCCTAGAGGTCTGTAAAACAAAAACAAACAAACAAACACCCAAAACAAAATACACAGTAAGGTTAAACCAGCCACAGATTAGCTTTTCCGTACACTGTATGGTAAGCACTGGGTTTACACCACCAATCCCTGCATAGCAGTGTGCCAGGAATAAAGCCCTGGTAGGGGTTGTCCAGATCCTCACATCAGGGCCCTTTAAATTGCAGGTAATTGTTTAATACATGTTTAACACAGAAAAGCCCACGGCACCCAGGAAAAAAAAAGAAAAAAAATCCATAAAATCTAAGTCTTGCACTAAAATCCAGAGATCTGGCATTAGGCTATGGTGCAAGAACAAGGTGAAGTGACACCCTTTAAGCTTCCTATCACTCCCAGCCATCTTGGGATATTAACTGGCCCCATTGAGCTGACGAGGGAAATAAACCAAAATAGTAACATAAAGTAACAGCTCTCAGCATTTATTGCTAATTACTAGTCAAAGTAGAACAACTTCAGGTTGGGAAGATGAAACTGAGTTCTCCCTAACAACAGGTCAAAACCAGTCTGCTGTGGCGGGATTGACACCCCAGCCCAAATTGCGGAGCGGGCACTCAAAGCTGGGTACCAAGTCAGGCTCAGGCACCTGTTTTACTACAGAATTTATGGGTTGGAACATGAGATGCCTCCTGTTTGCCATCACCCACATTTCTCAATACAGAGGCACCAAGGTTCTGGGCCCTTAGCAAAACCCCTGGAGTGAACGTCTCAGATGAGCTGGAGACAGTCGGCCTCTCAGCAGGCCAGTTTGCAGTTGGGTTTGAGGTCTCTTAAACTGTCTCCCTTCACTTCCTTGCACAACCTACCTGAAAGCTGAAGACCCCACTAGATGGCAGGACCGTTTAAGCCTTTGCTATTCCTACTTAAGAGCAAGTGCCCCAGCGGGCTCAGCCCCACTGGTCTGTACTGTCTGGACCGTGGGGTTTATAAGCTGTGCCAAACTGGTGGAGAAATCCATGCAGAAATCTCTGCTCAATTCCTTTTCACGGGCTTTATCACACACAGAGCTCCATCAGACCGAAGAGAGGAATACGAACTAATCCTAATTCCTCTTTGTGTGTGTGATACATAAAGGATATTTGGCTTACTGATGGTAAAGTGTAGTTTAAATCTCTTCTAGCCTCTGCTCTGTTGTAATTTTTACGTAATGCAAGTGGAGTTATAATTTTGTATGATCACCATTGTATGAAAGTTGCAAAACAGAGAAGTGGCTGCTGTGGGTCAGGTCACAGATGGATATAACTAAGTAAGATGTCTTGGATAGTGCAAACATTTCCACTGATTAACTTCCTTGCCTCCAAGCATTTGTGTTTATGGACTTTCTGAATTGGGAAATATTTTCTATTTGATTAGTAACTCATGACTTAAAACTAAAGCTACATATAACTCACAGTGTAGCTAGTATAGAACCAATTTTTGTCTTCAGCGATAACTAAATTTGGCCTGCATATGGCTGTACTATCACTGATTTGGAAATTTCTTTTAAAATACACTACCTTGTGAACTGCTTTGCCACTCATTTCATCCATGCAAGTTCAGCCTATGCAGTACTGCAGCAAAAAGATGGTACATAGCACAGGTACATAGTTGTATAAAGAATCAGCAAATAAACTTCATTTTAAAAAATCCTTAATTACTTCAAATTATCTAATTAACATTCTAATAATCAGTCCCCTACTTCAAACCTATTTAGTCTTTTATTACCTTTGAGATAAAAAATTGAACTCTCCTGTTCTATAGTAACAAAAGATGTGCCTCAGAATATATATTCATCCAACTCTTAGAGGAAGCTTCTGATGAAGGGCTGACCCAAAGAAAATTACCTTCTTAATGACATCTGGCAAATAATATGGCTAATTTTCTGTATATTCAAAATACCTACATTGGTTTATATATGCACAATAAAATTACAAGGGTATTTCCTGGGGTTTTTTGTTTGTTTTGTTGGGTTTCTTTGTTTGTAGTTTTGTTTTTGTTGTTTTGTTTTAAATATGCAGAGTGGGTAAGAATAGATAATTGTTTCATTAAGTTTTAAAATCTGGAAACAACAAAGTTAACTTTTTTCTTGGTACTAAAATGAAATTGTTAATAAAAGCTCAGAATAGTGCTGTATGATGATGAAAAAGTTACTATTACCTATGCTGCACTTGCTGGAATGGAAATTGGGATTAATGCATTATAATACCAGATTAGCCTTAATAGAAGTTTGCTGCAGTAATTTATCAAGGTAATTAAGTATGTACCTAATTTTAGGCACCTAAGTAGTTCTGTTGACTCCTGTGAGACTAGTCTGCATTTAAAGTTAAGCACATTTTAAAATACCCTGCTGATTCAAGGCCATAACTTTTTGGCCACAGTGAATTAAGAGAATGCACTGTCCTCAATAACCCATTAGTTAAGCTAATGGGAGGTGGTACAGACTGGATAATGGTTAAAACTGGATAAACTGGCTCAATGAAAAGTATATTCAGAAGCACTTCATTTGTTCTTTACAGGCTCAGCTGAGATTTAGTAGGTCTATTACCTATCTTCAAGATACTAACAACAACATGAACCAGAGCTTTCCCAACTTTGGCTGTGCTTAAGACAGTAACCCCACCTAAACCCCAGATTCCTGGACAGCATGGAATACAGTCCCCCCAGAGAGCTCTAAAGGGGCTAGCTCCCATCTGCCTGAGTCAAGCATAATGCACAACTAATAAACTCTGCTCGTGTTCAAAGATTATATGGCACAATGTCTCCCACACCAACCAGTTTGTGGTTCAGTTTATACTGGTCAAAAATATTCGTCTGGCTCAGAATTTGAAAGATTTGAAAAAATCCAGGCATAACTAAATATTCCTCTTCTATTTCTGAATGAGCTCTCTCATGCAGTCTAGACTAATAATTGTTTAGACACAAACAGTACATGCACGTGGCAAAGAAGCATTTCTGTGTCTGTAGCTTGGTTAATATGCAACTAGGTAATACATGTGTAACACTGTATAACATATTATCGATATTTTAAAAATGTTCATCCCACTTTTAATTGAGTTGCATTTTAAATCTTAGTTTTTACTACTTAGGTATTTTTTCAAATTTTCTGTTAAAATTCTTCTTTCTACACAATGTATTTTCAATGGCAGGTTCATACAGCTCAAGTACAATGTAAGAACTGTAAGCACCAGAGTGCTTACATTTGTGAGCGGTTAACTCCATTTATGTAAAAAACTTCAAATCATCTTAGGCTAACAAAGTACTAAAAGTATCTATTCCTGTAGCCCAAATTTCAGTGTCTGTGTTCTATCAGAGAAGGATCTAAATATATTCAGTGCTGCAACTGCAAAAGTGCAGAATTCAATATAGGCTGTGACCCAGGAGAGCACATTAGCATATGCTCCGCCTAAAGCATATAAGGAATTCTGTTTCAGTAATACTTGGCTACTTGATTTCCATGGGATCATTATAGCTTCTTATAATTTGCCAATTTTATGTACTGTGATGCTATAAAGGAGGCTGGTATAGGAGAATGAGACTGCAACCCAGAACAAGAATGTGTGCCACAAATATAGTTGTCTCCAAATCCCTCTCCGCTGTGGTTTTCAACGCTGATCTCCCGCATCAGCTACTTCAGTCTCTCAGACTCTCTTACGTCACCTGTTTTTCTCCAATGGAGTAAGTTATTTTACCTTTTCAAACCTGAAAAAACTCCTGAGATGTTGCACTTGTTACATGAATACAGGTTAAAGAGAAGGGAAGTAAATGTCAGTTCAGTTGAAACTGGATCCTTTATTGAATAGTCCCCAAACAGCAGGGCATGAGTAAGCGCACAGCAGGAATGGAAGTTGTACAGAGGCCTCTTACAAGTTCTCTGCCAGCTGCAGAATACACAGATATTTTATAGATGGAATACCAGTCAAATGTGGAATGTACCCATCAAAAATGCTTCCTCTGTCTGGCTACAACGCAACAGTGGGCAAAGAAAAGCACTCGATTGCAGGTGTTGGTTAGGTTTCAAGATGTATGTAAGTGGCTGCTACCCAGGCTATAGTGAAGGTGCTTGCCTGTACCTGAATCTTAGGTCTCCTACAATAAGGGAATGAATGCCAAGTATTTTCAGGAGCATGACCTCGACAGCAAAACAATTCCTTTCAATAGACAAAAAGCTTTACTTAAAATCTGTGTAAAAATCACAATGATTGAAACATCTTCATTGTCAGCAAACAATAAAACAAACTCTAGATAAAATAAAAGAAGCATGTATTATAGGGTTTTGTCATACAGGAGAAACATCAAGGAATCAACCCAAGACAGAAAAGATTATAGATAATTAATTTCCACAGTGAGATTAAACAATATTCATCATATACAAACATGGCTACTTTATTTTAGATACACATGAACAGCTACAATATTCAGCCTGAAAACAAATGACAGAAGTGGCAAGACTGTAAGAGTGGGAGAACTGAGATGATATGCCATAATCAAATAGAGCTAAGGAGAGTTTGAAAACAAACAGTGGTGTTTAAGTAGTTTACAAAACCTTTTGGAGACAGGAGAAGGAAAGAAAACATTTTTTTTTTAATTTCTCACACTCATCTATATATGTCTAATGAGAACAAAAATCTCAGGAGATAAATACAGATAATGTCTGTAATCTAATATATACTTAATATCATGGTGGAGAGAGTGAATCCACCTCTGTGTCAGAGAGAAGAAAGCTGTTTTAGGAAATTAAGATACAGGATTTTTATTTTGAAACAATCATTCCTGGAACATCTGCTAAATATGTTAGTTGGAACTGTCAAAGAAGATTAGTTAGGATGAATACTATAACCATGACAAAACCCCAAACAAGAGATACATTCTTTAGTTCTCTTCCCATTTGGATGTGTAGAACATTGGTTTTGAAGGATGACAGTATTAAAAACAGTATGTCATCCACATTAATGTCATCTAGATACAAGTGTCTTGCAAAACCATGTCTATGCTCCTAAAGTTGCTACCACACTTCAGAAAGGGTGACACAGGGAAGCTGGAAAGTCTGTTTATAGGTTTCATTAACCCAGCAGTCCTTAGGTATTAGGAATCATTGCTTTTTCGTTCCGCCTCTTGACTTTCCAGCAAGGCTTTGGATGATGGCACTTCTCCACCCTCTGCTCCTGCATCTAAAAATAGACAGAATTAAATATTTATACCACACACATTCTCACAGCTTTTTTTAATGCAGCCAAATATTTGAGTTCATCTCTGTTTGGACTGGCTCTATTGCCACAGTCCTGGATGCTTTAGAAACAGAAATTAACTTGCAAGATAAAGACCTTGCAGAGTATCTTCCAAAAGCAATTGCCTATTGGTGTTGATTTGCCTGTTCCTTGCACATACTGATCAATGTATATTTGGCTTTAAGAAACAAATTGGAAATAATTCTGTATTATTGTTATTCTTTTTTTACTGGGTCATTTCCACAGACAAGTTACAATATTGCATTCCTTTGAGCGCTGCTTGGTTTCAGGTAGATAATGTTACAGTTTATGAACATGCCAGTTATCTGTCTGACCTTCTTTGCCAAGAAATACCTATGTGAATTCACCCTGTCTTCACAAGAGGAGAGATTTTTTATTACTCTGATTTGGAAGTTTGCTCTTCTATAGATTAGAGTTGAATTCTTACATGACTAATATACCTAAAAGCTCCCCAGTGTGCCTGGTCATTATATGAAGAGTTCCACACTGTTTCTTTTGATCCTCAAGTTTAATCACTAAGAAACAGGAACTTCTCTTCCCTCAATTTCCTTTATAACCATAATAATTTTCACATTACCTTCAAACTCCACATGGCAGTACCAGAGGTAAGAGAACACCCAAATCTATGGCAGCACATAGTTTTTGGGGACAAGGAGAAGTCTACTCAGCACATCTGGCTGTACCATCTTCTACTTTAACAGCCATAATCTAAGGAGTACATTTTCAGCTATTTGCCCTGGAGACTTGCTATAAAATATCACAAACACCCAAAAGAGTTACATGTCTTGATCTCTACATATCATAGTAAATATATAATGCTGTACACAATTCATCAGCTAAAGCTCTTGGCAGCAACTGATTATGTTTTAAGTCTGGTTGGACATTTAGAGGCTTTGGAGGTCTATACTGGTAAATAAAGAACTGAGTTATTTGACACCCTTCAACATTACGTATCACAGCACTGTTGTGGTAAGACAAAGCAATATCTTCTATTGGCTGTTTCTGTACAGGGTTGGATGTCTAATAATAGAGGAGTCTTGCAAACAGGGTAGAGGAAAACGGTTAGAGGAAATCTAATCTCACAGTTGGTAGCACTTAGGCATGCAAACAGGTGTTAGGCTGCTGAGTGTATCAAGATAGTTATACACAGTCACCTAGGAAAAAATCAGTAAACAATAAAAGTTATTGACAGAATGGTGCCCTAATCCAGATTACCAAATGTGGGAGACCAGTATAGCTTCTTTGCTCTCTCTTTGTGTCTTGCAGCCTCCTCTTCAACCTTTGGATCACCAGTGACACCAATCAGCTGTTTAACTTGGTTCCAGTACAACCTCCCACCAGATCACCTGTGGAAAGTCTCTGCCCTCCAAAACTTATGCACCATAAGAGGACAATCAGACAGGATACAGATGGTCTTCATTTCAGAGTTAGGCTCCAAGATAAACAGCTGGTGCCAGAATCTCTCCCTCTAATCTCATGAGAACATTAATATGGTGTGGCTTGCAGAGTACATGGACATCTATATCACACAGCTACAATCCTTGTACAAATAAAGCAAATCTCTTTTCTAAGACAGACAAAAGGTATTAGCACATCCTGTTCCTGATTTTTCTCTATGACAGGAGCTGAAAGCATTTTAGAAAGAGGAAATGTATGATACAATGAGCATTAGCTAAATTTGAAACAAGATGGAGAGAGTCCTCTTTACCACTTCCCATAATCTTCACTGTCTGAATTTCAGAGCAGAAACAAAATAGGGCATACTTTATATAGCCACATGTTCCATCTTCTGCACTTCTCTCATTTATCTAACTTCTTTGTTCTGAGCTGAAAATTACTTTCAATTTTTAACAATTCATTGTTATAACCTGAAACAGGCAAAAAGAGATGCCTGTTTGAGCTCCAAATGTTTTGCAAACAAACTCTTTCCCTGTTGCAGCATTTGATCTTCAAAACTGTCTTTCCATTTTGATGAAGTCTTCTCAATTTGCTTGCTGCCTCATCAAAAGTTTAACTCACAACACGAGGCTGTAATTCCCATCTGATGCTTACGGAATTGCCATCCCCGAAAAGCATCCCAACAGTCAGTGAACCTAACTGCATCCTGTATTCATTTCCTATTATCACTGCTGTAAACTGCTGATAACAGAATCTGCTCCTTTCCAGCAATCTCTGGCACAGCTATATGTCAATGACAAAAACAAAGTACAATTCCATGATCTTAATTGTTCTTCAAATCCTGGCAGTGCTGGTACCTGTATTTGTAAGAAAGCATCGCTACATTTTGCTAAAACTAACATAGCTATTTCTTCCTCTTAATGCATTGGAAAGGTACCAGGAGAGGAAGACTATTCTGTCTGGAGGGCTAAATACTTATTTTATACTATGCTGTAACATTTCTTATAACAAGACTTTCCCTCTTTCCCGTTTATTTCTGCGGGGGTGGGGGTGAGACTGAATAGAGAAAATTTTTATGCTTTAGAAAGTATATTCTTTCCAACTACTAAACTTTCCAGAGGCTAAAGTGAAACAAACATGAGAAACTTATCTATAGCTGTTGTATTCTTTTGTGGTCTAACATGGTGCAACTCCCTCAAGATTTACTTCTCTAAACAATACAAAGGCTAGTTACCCCTAATATAGCAATGAATATTTCAGTGGATTGAACCTGTCATTTCACTTCCACAGCTCCTGACAATAATAACAATATAAATTCCCATCTACCTCCCCTTTGGTAATGGAAACAATTCTTTCCTGCTGAAGCCTGACCATGCCAGGCAGAAGAGCTATTTGGAACAAAAAACCCCATAATATTTGAAAACCAGAACATTAAATGTTAAGTGACTGTTTGTATTTCAGAATGGATTTCCGGTGCTCCAGCTGCACACACCAGAAGGAGAAAATCTGCAGGGACATAATGTTCATATTCATAGCGAAGAAAATCTCTCCTTGAGACAAAGGAGTTTTAACCGGACTCACAGGACTCCCAGCTTTACTTTGAATGTACTCTGTCACAGGAATCCCACCTGCTCTTCCAGATTCTCCCAGTTCCCCTCACTATTATCCTGCAGCCTGAGGGTATCTAAACTTGCCATCTTTCCCAATTTTTTCTTTATTTCCACCCTATTTTCTTCACAAATCCTTGCACCTTCCTTTCTCAAAAGTGACGTCTTCTTCCAGCACCCATTCAGGTTCTTATTTTCCTCTCTTTTCCCAGTTCAAGTCAGGGTAAGGTCATTTCATCCCCTGTCACACCTCCTGGAAGTGTTCTTTCCACCTGCCCAGCAGTCCTTTGATTAGGCCCATGTTTAGTTTAGATTACAGAACCCCAAATACATGAATATAAATTAAATCACCAAAGCAATGACAATTTGTGATCAAATAAATCCTCCCCCCCAGCCTTTATGGTACTTTAGGAAGCTGTAAACTCAACATCCTGTAGTTGCTTCAGGCAATGTAAAATGAGGACATGCATCCTCATCTCTCCTATAATCTACTTCAGTTCAGATTCATGGACCCTCCACACCCCAGTGCAGGCTTGCCTTTCCCTGTGCTGCACCCAATACCATCACTGCTCCTGGATGTGGGACCATCAGTTGTGGTGGCATATGTCATGGCAGCAACAGTGATGGGCATGAGAAGAAAAGGTTTTCTGAAAAGATTCTGATTAAAAAAGTAGGGGCAAACCATGTTTAAGGTCAACCTATAATTTTCACTTCGTATGCATTAGAAACCAGATTTTTCTGAGTATGAAAATCCCCCTGAAGTCACTCTGAAAGTAAAAAGCTCACATGCAAAGCTGGTGTTCATTAGACCTGTGCTAAATCAACAGAGCACCTTATCAAATTAAAGGACATGGCAAAATTGGGCACTGGTCTCAGATAGCAAAGTTGAAAGCCTACTATCAAGAGTAAATCACTATAAACCCTACTCTTAATGTATATGCCTGAGTTAGGTTAGCTGTCATTGGATTAACAGCACAGCTTGCTGTCTTGTGCTAAGTTATCTCAGTGTAGAAGTACATTTGAATTTATAGGTGATGCGATGGGTTTTCCAAGATGCCCATCAATGCAAATGTGTTTGCTCTTCCTAAGGGGAACTGGAATTCAGTTCCTAGCACTGAACTGTTTCCCCAGGCTGCTGAACACTGAATCTGTGGGTGAATATGGCAGACTTAGTCTGGGTTACTGTTAACTTGTCTTATCAGGAGATACAAGAGAGAACTGCGTTGGAAGGTTGAACTCATTTATAAATTAAGAAATAAATGTCAGTATTGTGATAAATAAATAATTGTGATTCGTGAAACAAATGGGTGATTATATCAAAATAAAACAAACTGATTGTAAAACCCTCCTCACAAGGTCAAGAGGCCTAAACCCTCCTTACTATCCTAAGAATAAAATATAGTAGAACTTTAAATCTTTAGGCGCCTGTTCGTCCAAGGATGCATGAACTGGTTGTAGAGAGAACCCTTTTAGCTTTAGCTGTAAGAAAACCCATATATTAAATACTTAGCAAAAACCTGTAGAATGTATATGTATATGATATAATTAATATGCATGAAGTAGCTAAGATAAATACTAAATGTACCCTGTAGTAGAGGTGTGCAGATTTGGGAAACTGGTCCCATTTCTGTCACCCAGCCGGGTGCTTGCTTTTACCATATAATAAACTATTATTCGAAACTTATAGAAACTCGAGACTTTGTTTATCACAATATTGACATCAAAACTGTGTGGTGGCAGAAGCCTTAAGGAGAAAGCAAAGGACGACTGCATAAAAATGTTCCTGTCTGCGTGTGCAGCCATTACCTTCTGAAACAGAGAGATCAGCCAGTTTGTGTGGCAGGTCTGAAGTCCCAGCACCAGCAGGAGAGCCCAGGATATCTGGTAAGGCGTTGCGGCGCCCTGCCCGTCCTGATGCTGCAAAATCTGTGACCACAGGCTCCACATCAGTCATTGCTGACTCCTTTCGTCATAGCAACGTCTGCAAACAGAACAAACAGAAGAGGCAAACAGCAGCCTGATGGACGCTACTCACCTGCTCAACAATACAATAACTATAGGCTTTGCCCAATGGTTCTTTTGTTATTAAAACCCATACATTTCAATACTGAGTGCTTAAGCTTTATTTCTGCCCCAGCTGAAGATAAAAGAACGTCTGTCCATTTCCTTTGCACATCACATTAGCACTATGAGCAACTCCGTACTTACAATAAACCTGTGAACAGGGTCAGCAGCGGCCCTTTCTACCAGCCATCTGTATGTCTTTTCATGACCTGTTCCCTTTTTTTAAGTGGTTTTGCCATACAGCTACCTAGAAGGAAACTGAAACTCTGTTGTCATAGTGTGTATGAAGTAAAGCATGTTTTCTTTATTATCAATCTTGCTCAGATTCTTATTTACAATCTTGTTAGAACAAACTCGTTTCACAGAGGAGCAAATTATACAAAAAAGACCTCTCAAAAAACAAACTGAAATTCTTCATAAAATTTCTTTATCCAGCAGTTACCAAACCACTTGTTTTCCTCTACTCCTTATTACCCTGGTTGAACTTCCGCTTGGGAATGTGACTTTTATCTAACAAGTAACTGAATCCTGGAAATAACAGAGCCAACAGTGCTCTGCTCCCTTGTTCCCTGTCTCAAAGCCCACTGAATTGAATAGGAAAACTGCTGACCAAAATGGGCTTTGGATCAGGCACGGAGGTGTTTGCAGGATCACACCCTAGGGCAACAGGTTAAGTGAGAACACTGAGCAGAAGGAGGCGATACTTGGCTGCAAGTGGCACACAGGGATAGTGTGTGAAAACTGCCATTAGCAGTCACAAAAGACTATCAGACCAGAATTTACACAATAATTGCTGGTAATTAACAGAGTAATTTCTAATAATTAGGCATCTGTTACTCAAAAACAATAGTTACTTGCCCTATATGAATGCAGTTCTGTGCACAATATGGAAACAGGAATTTTGTCTCTTTGGGTAAATACGGTCAGTACTTTGAGTGGGAAGGGATACAGATGGAAATGGAGACCAATCCGATGGAAGGCTGTCAGTTTCTGTTTGACAACTGTCCGTATTTAGGATAAGAACTGGATAAGGAAAATCACAATCACTTTAGTGTTGATAGTGTCGTTCGTGTAAGAAGCAAAGCATCATAATCCCCTTTCTAAAATTCTAAAGTTGGCAAATATTAGTGCTTTCATTTCATGGAAATAAAAAAATATAGAAATAGAGATCAAACATGACTTGCTCTGATCTGCAGGAAGGAAGGAGCAGAAATCTGATTACTGATGCTGACCTGGCATTTCCACCACAAACATTTTCTCCCTCAAAGTGCCTTTCAGCTGTGCCGCTCCAGAAACAAGAATAAATATTCTTCATCTTCTTTATATCTCTAAATACTTTGTAATAAAAGAAATGCATAACTTTTGGTGAGAAATGAAGGCACAAGTAAAATCTGCAAGTCTGAAAGATGACCTGAACATGCAAGTAAACCACTTTCTTTAACCAGAGTCAGTAAGTGAAAGTTCTGACTTGGAGATTTAGAAGAAGGTTCCTGTCCTGCATGAAAACAGGTCAAGTCCAAATGAATCTCTTCCATAAGTGGCAAGAATATAAAATCATGGATATTCAAGAATGCAACTTTTGAGAAAATACATAAAGTACATGCATTGACATTCTCAGATATAGCATTATACTATGTATTAATTAAAATGGTTAAGATTCAGTACTTGACATGCAATATAAAAATAAGGAGAAAGAATCCATGTTTACAGACAGTCTCATGGTTTTTTGTGCGTGTCCATATTTACTTAACTGTAGGTGTTCTAAATGTTTTCTTCACATGCTCACCAGAGCAAGTACAGACATTGTGAATTGCACTTCAAGAAAATACTTGGGATCTTCTTTTGCTTAGTAAACCTGTTAAAATTTGTTCCCAGTTCTAAAATACCAGTATTGCTGCAGTTCCTACCCATTTCATTTCAGCCATTTATACAGTGAAGACAATAATACTGTTGTGAGTTGACCGCTGTTCACATGACGATCTACAGAATGACATTAGTGTTAAAGACTTTCTCAAGCCTGCCTTGTGGAATTTTTTCCATTTTTTCTCTCCTGCATGGATGTTTTGGTCCCTAAATGGTTACTTTTTAAATGGAGAAAATCTGCTCTACAACTCATGCTATATTAAACTACTCTCTTTTGCAGCACAGTTTCAACTTACCCACCTTGTGTATTTGTTTCGAATCCCTCCCTTTCCTCTCCAGCACACCTCTTTCTCCTATGACATAATCTCCCTTCATTGCACAATACTAGACAACACAGGAAGATGATGAAGGACACAGTCTGACACACCTTTGTGTAAGCGAATTTTGATTTATGCACTTGATTAAAAAAGTGTGCAGAGACAAATCTAGAACATCTGTCAGACAGAAAATCAGATGATCATTATCAATACGTCTGCTGGCCATAATTCAAATGGAGTTATGTATAAATAATAAAAGTACACCATCCTTTATATACATAGCAGTTGTATGTTTTCACCTTTGTTTTTTCTGTGCTACACTATGGCTAGCACAGGATGTTCTTTAAGTATATTTGAAAGAGGAGGGACTATCCCAGCAGGCTTAGAACTGACATTAAAAAACTTAAGTCCATTTAGGTCCATATAAATCAAAACTTAAGTTCACCTCCAAACATATGACAGACATTATTCAAAACAGCTTGCTGCTGTACTTGAAAGAAATGGCATTTTGTTCTTTAATGTTCTAAGGAATATTTTCAATTTAATTCTGATCCTCTTGCAGAGTTTCTCCTCTTCATCTGTTTCTACCTTTAATTTTTTAAACATATCCATCAGGAAATGTCTACCTTTCTGGCATCTTCTTGCATCTGTTAAGCACAGTATTATTCATCCTTACTCACAGAGTAAACAATAATCACAATGTGCAAAGCACCTATTTTCTCAATTCCACTCCTCCTCCTGCCGGCAACATCTCCTTCAGCTTCACTGAACCCATTTTGCTCTAGCCTTATCCAAGATAAAGATACTTATATCTTGCCAACTCCTGCATGCAGTTGCTTCTCTCAGTTTCCAAATTACTGTTATCATTTTTCTCCTGTGTCACTGCTCACCAGACTAACAGAGCACAGCTCTAAAAGAATAGTGCCAGATTTGCAAAACAGAAACTTCTGTTTCTGTACTTCCCCAGCTCCCTTTTTTCCACAGTAAAAACCCAGGCTACCCAAAAGTATAAGGAGACTGACTGCGTGGAAACAAAGAGCTGGGTAGGGATGCAGGCTGTTTGCAGGAGGGTCAATAGTAGGAAAGCAGATGGATGTCCCAGAAAAGCTCATCTACTAAAGTTAGAGACCAAAGGCTTTGCCTGGCATCCCATCAGTACTCCATGGCACCAGGCTAACTTTGAAACTCATTCCTGGGCCAGGTTTTTGGGAGTACTAGGTTAATCCTCTCATATGCGCCTCTGAAATCCCTGCAGGACCACACAGAATGCACATCAGACCATTCAGGTGTTGTCAGAGATTGAAATGGTTAATGATTTACACATTCTGGGACCGCTAGGGGACTTTTGCAGGCTGGGAAGAGACGGCTGCTCACCCAGCCGGCCCTATCCTCCCAAGAGTGCTGCTGATGGGTTGAGGACTGAAAGGCGGGATGAGCCGTTTTTGCCATGCCCTTCACGTGAACTCTGCACGTCTGGCCTGGGTTGTCGGAGATGTTGGAGGCTCGTGGCACGGCCTGTGACACATGGTAAAACTCCCCGCCCCTGAAAGGTACGTGGCATTCGCACCTGAGCTGGAAGTATATAATAACTCATAACTTCTTTGAGCATGTGGGTTTCCCTTCCCCACCCCCAATGGACCAAGACCACCACTTCAACTAATAGACATGGAAGCTGCAACTACCAAGTTTCATCGCTGGATCCAGTGGGCAGTGACTATATATATCTTTCCACCTTTATCCTTTCTTTCCCTTTCTCTCCCTTATGCATTTCCTTAAGTGTTATCCTTATGCTCTAATGATTGATATATTGCTATAGATGATAAATATAGATGATAACACCCAAAATGGCAACATACCTGTTTACCTTTGAAACAAAATTGGTCTAAAATAAACCCTACATGTATATGTTTTCAAACACTGATTATTCAGTGTCATTTTCACTCTAATCCACCCCAAGGGATTAATTAATAAGAACTTGGGTTATCCTCCACTTCTTCTAGGGGCGGGTCACAACAGGTGTGCAAGTGGAGAGGAAGTGCTCTGCTTGTGAAAACTGGCTACAATGAAAAGCAAAACTCAATTACTGATGTATGAGACATTCAAGTAATCATTCTCAGACAAAATAATGGCAGGTAAACTACTAGTGACATTTTTTCTGAGAGACAGCTAGTTTGTTAATCTTTGAATCCTCTTTTGTTGGCAGCATAGCCAGCCCTTTGGAGGAAAATGAGTCACAGAAGCTGGTAAGAATTTCTTTAAATAAATGACAAAGGAAGAGAACAAATAAGTCTCACGAAACAAGTTGTGTGCAGCAACAAGAGAAATAATGCTTCAAGGTACTCAGCTGTAGCAGTCCACATGAAATGTCAGTGCTATCTCTTCCTCACTCTTATCTGCTAGGAAGTAGATAAATCACCACCTTAAGTATTTGTGAAAGCTGTTCTTTCTTCTGATCTTTCTACTGTCTCACACAGACAAAATACTGGTTTTGTTCTTCTTGGAAGGACAAGCTGTTCCTCAGTAAATGTCAAAAGGTTCCTGACATTGGTATTGTGGCAAATCCACTCCACAGGAGACTGAAAGATCAAACATATCACTCCTTGCCACTCAGGCATTCTGTCAAAAACTCTTGTCTTAGGTCTTAAGAACAGTCTCTGCCTGTAGCAGAGAAAGCTACACTTACCAAACACTGTTCCTTTTGAATGCCCCTTAATAGGAACAAACTGGAAAGTGTGAA